TGGCTAACACGCGTCGTCAGGATCTTTTTCCTATCTATGGGTATTTTATCTTTAACCAGATCGGTCTATGTCCCAAAATCGGACTAGCTTGCCCTTGATCGAACCGACTCATTGAGTCAACTTGCGCTGAGCCAAATCAAATCAGTCTGAGTTATTGACTTTGACTAAATTATCGACTTTAATTAAAGTTGACTTTGACCAACATTAATTTTAAATTTTATCAAAAATTAACTTTCTCTAAAAAAATCATTTTTATGTCTTAAGCCTGATTTTACGATATATTTTGATAAATTATAATTCAAAAGCCTTCGAATCGAATGTTAAACCCTGGACATGTATTTGTATTTAATTATTTTATTTAATGATTGATTTATGATGTTGTCTATTAAAGGTACTTGTGATTCTGTTGACCATTCGTCAGCTCGATCCAACTCCTCCTGATTTATTCGACTATATGAGTCCATGATTACTTTATGATTTTGTAAACCCTCTAATTAATTAGATTAAAATATTACTTCATTAGTAATCATGCTTCGTTATGGTTTAGGTTCGGGCACTACTGTAGAGTGTAGTGAGGTCGGTGCTCAGTAGATAGGTTTACCCTAGATAGAACCGGCATGTTCCCGAACCGGCCTACTAAGTCAACTCACGTTAAGTCAACTCGCACTGAGTTAACTCAAACCAGTCTGAACTATTGACTTTGACATATACCATTGACTTTGACTAGAGTTAACTTAGACTTTGACCAATGTTGACTTTTTCTAAAAAGTCATATTTTAGGTTTGTCAACATCTTGAGTCCGATTCTGGAATTCGTTTTGCCAAATTTTAACACGAAAGACTCCAAATTGAATGTTGAACATCGAACATGTATGTGTATTTAATTATTTTATTTAATTGCATTTAAATTAAGGACAATGATTGATTTATGATATTGTCTATTGAAGGTACTCATGATTCTCTCAATCGTTCGTCTGCTCGACCCAACTTCTCTCTATCCGTTCGATTACGTGAGCTCGTGATTACCCGTATGGTTTATAAACCCTCTGATTAATTAGATTAAAATATTACTTAAATAGTAACCATGTTTCATTATGGTTTAGTTTCGAGCACTACTATAAAGCGCAGTGAGGTTGACACTTAGTAGACTTTCTAAACTGATCCTTTTTACGAGGTATGTTCATTGTGTTGATATATAACTGTTTTTAAATATTTGTATGAACTATCATGTGCACATGATTGTTTTATCTAATTTGAAATGTGATTGTCTGGTCTGATTTAACTTTTAAATGGTTTATTTGATTTACTGAATTTTAAATCGAGCTTGTCTGATATATGTTCTCTTGTTAATGTCTTTACTCAAAAATTAAATATGCCTGATTTATGATTGCCTGACCCTACTGGTACTATTTAAAATTGTTTTGATGTGGTACTTTCTGGGATGTGATATGGAATTTTGCAGGTTCAACACTGATCAAGTTGGTAATTTCTTATAGACTTAAGGCAACTTTTAGGTAGGCTCTTAGGTCCAATGGGCCTAGTGTGGGATCTTCTGACCAAAATTTCGTTGGCTCCTCACCGAGAACTACTATTGTTCACTGTGAAGAACCTTCAAAGCCTCGTTGAAACACATAACATCGTCATTGATTTTCATCGTTTTTGGTTACCTCGACTATTCGTGCTCCTCACTGTCAGTTCTAGTGGAAATGCCACCCTTTCCCAACAAGAACTCAACTTCCCACGCGGAGACATTGTGCCAACCGTTGTGGAGATCATTTTTTCATCGATCCAAGCCTCAGTAAACTTCAATTAACCCTATTTTTTATTTTTCGTGTTATTTCCATTTGATTTACATTGTTTTCGGCTGAAATGAGCCGCATGTGGCTAATACGCACTGTCAGAGTCATTTTCTTACCGATGGGTATTTATCTTTTACCAAATAGATCTATGTCCCCAAAACAAGACCAATTTACCCTAGATCGAACCGACCTATTGAGTCAACTTACGCTGAGTCAACTCGCACTACGTCAACTCAAATCGGTATGAATTGTTGACTTTGACCTAACTGTCGACGTTGACTAGAGTTTACTTTGACCAACTTTGACTTTGAACAAAAGTTGACTTTTTTATAAAAGTTTTGTCTTAGGTTTTTTGACGTCCTAAGTCTACTTTTATGGTATGTTTCACCAATTTATAATCCAAATGCATCCAAATAAAATGTTGAACCCTTAAGATACATTTATATTTAATTATTTCATTTAAATGCATTTAAATTAAAGACAATGATTAATTTATGCTGTTATCCATTAAAGGTACTCGTGATTTTTCTGAGCGATTTTGTAGACCCTTTGATTAATTAGATTAAACTATTACTTCAATAGTAATCATGTTTTGTTATGGTTTAGGTTCAAGCACTGTTGTAGAGCGTAGTGAGGCCAATACTCAGTAGACTTCCTAGATCGATCTACTCCCCGAAAACTAGATTGATTTACCCTAGATCAAAATATCTTGCTCCCTAAATAGCCCATTGAGTCAACTTACGTTGAGTTAACTCGTGCTGAGTCAACTCGAATCGGTCTGAACTGTTAACTTGACCAAACTATTAACTTTGACTTGAGTTAACTTAGACTTTAACCAATGTTAACTTTGAATGTGATCAAAATTGACTTTTTCTTTCTAAAAATTCATATTTTAGATTTTTTGACATCTTGAGTATGATTTTGTGGTCTGTTTTGCCAAATTATAATCTGAAAGCCTTTAGAATGAATGTTGAACCCCAAACATGCATGTGTACTTAATTATTTTATTTAAGTGCATTTAAATTAAGGACATTGACTGGTTTATGATATTGTCTACTGAAGGTACTCTTGATTCTCTTAACTTTTAGTCAGCTCGACCAAACTCCTCCCGATCCGTTCGACAGCGTGAGCTCGTGATTACTCATATGGTTTTGTAAACCCTTTGGTTAATTAGATTAAAATATTAATTCAATATTAACCATGTTTCGTTATGGTTTAGGTTCGAGTACTAATGCAAAGCGTTGTGAAGCATGCACTTAGTAGACTTTTCGGACTGATCTTTTTTGCGAGGTGTGTTCCTTGTGTGTTATATAATTATTTTTAAATGTTTGTTTGAACTATCATGTGCACATGATTGTTTTATCTAATTTGAAATGTGACTATCTGATTTGATTTGACTTCTGAGTGGTTTATCTGATTTAAAGTATGATTTCTTATTTACTGAATTTTAAATCGAGCTTGACTAATGCATGTTCTCTTGTTAATGTATTTACTAAAAATAAATATGTCTGATTTATGATTTCCTGTTCCTACTGGTACTATTTAAAAACTATTTTACTAGGGTACTTTCTGGGATGTGATATAGATTTCTGCAGGCACGACTTTGATCAAGCCGATAATTCCTTATGGATTTAAGGCAACCCTTGGGTGGGCTCTTAGGCCCAATGGACCTAGGGTAAGACCTAATGGATCCTAAGGCACTATCTTAGGATAGTTTATTTGCTTTGTGCTTAGGGTAAGTCCTTATGGACCTGAGACACACCCTTCAGGTGGGTGGCTCTTACGCTTCGGTTAGGGTAAGTCCTTATGGACCTAAGGTGCTATCTTAGGTTGGCTCCTAGGTCTAATGCACCTAGGGTATGCCCTTATAAATGCAGTTTTAGGGAACTGTATATGGTGTACAGTTGGAGGGTAACTCTGCGTTTTAAATAAAAATCATATTGTCATTTTTATACAGTAATTCTGAAACCAATTTTGTAATTTATTCGTATATTTTATTTTTGCACTTAGTGGAACACACCGAGTAATCTAGTTCACTTCCCCAACTTGGTTCTTGGAGGATCGACATATTTCATACAATATATTTTGTTATAATGTTTTCATATTCCGAATTGCCTTTATTTTGATATATAGAATTTACAATGTTTTTTATATTACTACTTATGTATGGATTATTTGTCACTAGTTTTTGGATATTTTGTTTTACCTATAATATTTTATGTTTTATATTCCTCGATTTGACTTTAAAATTTTATTTACGATTTCAAAGATGTTTCGAAAAAATTTATTGTAGTCCGTTAGATCTACTTGGTTCTGGGAGGATCAACTCATTTCGTATAATATATTTTGTTATAATATTTTTATCTTCCGAATTTCCTTAATTTGTGGTATGTGTTTATGTTTTGATATAATAGTTTTATGACGTATTTATATATTGCTATTAATGTATGAATTATTTTGTCACTGATTATCAGATATTTCCTTTTATCAGTAATATTTTATGTTTTATATTCTTCGGTTTGACTTTATAATTTTATTTACGATTCTAAAGATGTTTCAAAAAAATTTATTATAATCCGCTATATTTAGTCGTAACGTACAAGTTGGATCTATGAGTTACATTTCCAACATGTTTTTTTTACGCATAAACCTAGATTCTACTTTTAGGAGTGTTCATATTATCCTTTATACATATTTGTGCGTGTTCACATTAGACTTCCAATTTCCAAGTAAATGTTAATATGCCAAGTATGACAAGGTTAGCTGTATTGAGTGTTCCATATCTCTTGAATAATGTGTCTTTTTTTTTTCTTTTATAAGAAAATTTTTAGTTCTCAATTCTGTAAATTCATAAATAAATATTATACAAAAAATTATTTTTATAAATCTATCTTAATTCAACTCTAAACTAATCAGAACCGACATAAACTCTCAGCTATCAAAGACTCTTGTGCAAAAAAAAAATCTGAAAGTAGTGTACAGAATCTTCATAGAAATTTCCATGAAGTTATTCTATAAAAGCAACCACATTTTCCACATACATTTATCCTCAACGACCAAGAAACTGCTAAATAATCAACGTCAATGCCTGGAAATTGCGTATTGATCCCTTGCGTATCAATCCACACACACACATGTGTATATATATATATATGGTATCCACACTTCAACTCGACTCATTTCTCTGCAAACTTTAAACAAAATGCAGAAATCACCGTCTTCGTCGTCTTCATCAACATCATCAAACAAGATGATCACGCTGTGTGGAATCATGGTATATCTTATTCTTCTTAACATCGCAATCATACTGCATGATTTCTACTCGACCTTTCATTTCATTGTCAGCATACTCAAATCTTTCCTGGGAATCATTTCTTGCACCCTCGTTTCTTCGTCTGCAACAACATCCGAGAAAATTTGCATAAACTTCGAGAGAACTCCTAGTGCAGCCGCCGATGATCGAAACCCGTTGTTTTCGGAACTGAAAAAGGTGATCGAGAAGGAGGGGATGGCCGATATCGGCGGACTGTTCGAGGAAGAAGAACCGAGTTTAATGGAAGTGAAAGAGGCTTTCGACGTGTTCGATGAAAACAAGGATGGGTTCATCGATGCAGATGAGTTGAGGAATGCTTTGTTTTCGTTAGGGTTCATTAAGGAAGCTCAAGGGGATGACTGTGAAAGGATGATCCAAGGGTTTGATGATAATTTGGATGGACGTATTGATTTTAATGAATTTGTAAAAGTTTTGGAGAGAAGCTTCTGTTCATGAAAAAAAATTAAACTAACTTCCATTTTCCATACACTTGTATGTATATATTAGTTAAAATTTCACTTAGTCTTATTTAGATTTAACTCATGTTATGATGAAAATTTACCTATCAACCTTTACTAAATGATATAATTTGAGTTTATAACTTTTTTTTATATCAAGCTAAGGTGATTACAAAGTAATATTTGTTCTAAATACCTCTTAACCATTTGAAAATGAATGCTCAATTACTCTGTTGCAATCGTTGATGCTAGAACCCGTGATCTCTAAGAACAACAATCATTCATTTAATCATTGAAGTAAGTTAGTTCGTGCATTTGAGTTTATAGCTTTGTTTAAGAATAGAGTTAATCAAGTATACAAATTTATTCAAAGTTTAGAAAGGTTTAAGTAAAATATTATGTTTGAATAGAAAAAAACAGATTCATTTAAATGTAAATTATTTTCACCCACTTGTTAGAACTTATACGTAAGACTTAAAAATTAGATAGTCAAATTGATATATAATCATATTATAATTGGACTTAAATCATAATAATTCTAAATAGAACTTATACCTAAGACTTAAACAGGAATAATTCAAGATAAACTATTTATTTGTTCACCCACTTGTTAAAGCTTTTTAAAAGCTTTTTTAGTAAGATCGTTTTGATCGTAAAATCAATGTCAAACGGGTAAAACAAATTACGGTGGAAACGGTGGTTTCAAATCAATGCCAGACGGGTGAAAAATAAAAAAAATTGTGGTTGAAACGATGGTTTCAAACCAACCGCAAAAACTAAGATTTATAGTCTTTTCATTTTCAACTTTGCATTTGGAAGCAAATGATAATTATACCCTTACTAATGTAGGGCCCCACTCAATTATGCATTTATATTTTATTTTAATAATTTAATTCTAATCTCTTTAAAAAATAATTTATTACTTTTAATACTTTATTTTAATTATTTAAAAATAAATAACATTTATGGTTCTTATATTAAAATATTAATAGTGGATTGTATAAATATATTTTGTTATAATTAATTATATTTTTAATATTTTGTTATAAATATAAATAAAGTGATTAAATGTTCATTGTCAAATAATTGATAGTATTTAGAACATATACTATTTTGTAATCACTATAGTTTAATTAAAAAATAATAATTGATGAACACATGTCAAGCAAGCATTGGATGTAAAAGATGCCAACATGGCAGCTACGCAAATGAAAATATGGGCCCCAGCTGATCATTTCTCATCCAATGACAACAAAGGAAGAGATTTATGGATATGGGAAATAGATAAAGCAAAGAGATTTGTAGATATGTAAAATAGATAAAAGGCGATAAGTCTGAGTTCATCTCAACCGTCGGAAAAATCGATCAATCAAGTCCAACCTTGAATGTCGACCACACATACATGGCAAAATCCAAGTACAAAGCTAAGTCTCAAGACATGCACTCAAAACATTTTTACTTTCCCTTACCCTTGAATCCATCTTTTTTCTTTCGACCGTAAACCATGGCAGCCGTCACCACACAAGCCTCGGCCGCCGTGTTCCGGCCATGCTCGTCGAAAACTAGGTTTCTCACTGGGTACACCGGTAAGTTAAACCGACAAGTTTGCTTAAAACCAATGGTGGCTTCATCAAACAGCTCATTCAAAGTTGAAGCCAAGAAAGGGGAGTGGTTGCCGGGTCTACCTTCACCGGCTTACCTCACCGGAAGGTACACCTTTTCAATTATATTATATGTTATCTAAATTTTAGAAGGAACAGCTTAGTTGAACTTAAGAAGTTATGTTAAAAATGTCTAAATTATATAGGAATTTGACCAACAACTTTTCGATCCATCTGTATTTAACGATTATAGAATCTCAGTCTTCCAGGCGACAATGGCTTTGATCCTCTTGGATTGGCCGAGGACCCCGAGAACTTGAGATGGTTCGTGCAAGCTGAGCTGGTGAACGGGCGTTGGGCGATGTTGGGTGTTGCCGGGATGCTTTTGCCTGAGGTTTTCACTAAGATTGGACTGATCAATGCTCCTCAGTGGTACGATGCCGGGAAATCCGAATACTTTGCGTCATCCTCGACCCTTTTCGTAATCGAGTTCATCTTGTTCCACTACGTCGAGATCAGAAGGTGGCAAGACATCAAGAACCCGGATGTGTGAACCAAGACCCCATCTTCAAGCAGTACAGCTTACCCCCAAATGAATGTGGATACCCCGGTGGCATTTTCAACCCCCTCAACTTTGCTCCCTCACTTGAGGCCAAGGAAAAGGAACTCGCCAATGGTACGTATAAATATACATCCGACACAAATCGAATAAATCAAACTTACTAAGGTCGTACTTGTTTGGACATGCAGGGAGATTGGCAATGCTGGCGTTCTTGGGATTCATAATTCAACACAATGTGACAGGGAAAGGACCATTTGATAACCTGTTGCAGCACCTCTCAGATCCATGGCACAACACCATCATCAACACATTCAGAGGTTACTAAAATCAATTTACAGTTGTAGTTTCCTTCTCTTCTTTTGAGTCCAGAATTAAGCATATTCTATTTGCAAACAAAGATGCTTCAATGGAGAACTTCAGCTTTGCATGTCTAATCTTATTAATGTTTTTCAAACTAATGATAGCAACTGTTTCTTAATTCTCTACAAAAGAGTATTTTTAGTGTACAATTTGGGGGATTAGGGAAGTATTTTCAAGCCCATCCCCATTAAAACTGTGCTTAACAAATAGAAACAAAGAAATTAAAAGGAAGTTCATATACAGAAGCCAAGATTCATGTTCAGCAGGAAACAATGGCCAGATATCAGATTCCATCATAAAACCTCTATTGTTGGATCATTCCATCACAAGAAAAGGTCATAACAGGAAATGTTTGGGATTCGGATGCATATCTGTTGGTCGCTTCAGCTACAAATTATGGCATTGACCAGATGGAGGTGTTTGATTCATGAAAGTCGATTTCGATTGCTGAAATAAACAACGATCCAAATCAATAACAAATTCGACTATACAAAAAGAAATTTATAAATAATCCACTAACTTATATCCTAGAGTAATGGATAGAAGTAGAACAAGACAAATAGTGTTTCCTCACCTTATGGTAAGAATTCCCATCAAACATGGCAATGCCACAAGGGCCAGAAGAAGATATCCAAGCTTGATGACCATTATTAGACATGGGTCTTGGGGCTTCAAAGTCGGTAATAACTTGGTAAACTCCAGGATTTACTTTTAAGTTCCCCGCCATCTCGGACTTCAACTTCTCATCCACTTGCAAATTTGCAGCAGTATATTGGGGGTACAAGAATTGCTTACCGAGTTGGGAATTAAAGTATGCATTACTCCCTACCTCATTCAGGCCATTACTTTCCTGTACTGTGTTATTATCAACTTGTACTGAATTGCCGATATCAGTTTGTTTACCAGAGGCAAAGAAACCAGAATAACCCGCAAGGGAGCCATCTGTAGGGCACTCTGTATCTCTGGATCAAAGAAACACCAAAAAATAAAAATGTTATTTATATGCCACCTGCAGCAAATCATTTGATATTAAAAACAACCATATCTCTGCTGGTTGGCCTCGAGAGAAATTTTACATTCACATAGTTGAATGTCGAAGCATAATAGGAATTGGATTTAAAGGTACATATCCGTAAAGGTCTTACAGATTAGGGAGAAAGTCTGGATCATTTTGCAATAACATTTGCTGATTGTCATTGTTCGGAAGCCATGTAACAGGTTGGCCTTCTTGCAGCCCACCCATCATCACAGGCAAAGGCATCGCATTCTGAAACTGTAAGCCAGATAAGTTGTACGATATTCCCCCCAGACAAGAGAGAGAGATGTTATAGAGTAAATGCTTTTGCTACCTGGCTAGTGGATTCTAGCGGCAGAAGATGGTGCTTTCCATAGTTTTCCTGCCAAGATGGTAGCATGCATAACTAATTTATACGTAATTGGCTCGGATTCTATTAAATTGGTTCTTTATCAGTACAAAAGAGGCTAAAGAACCAAGCAGTTTTCATCAGGATCTAGCATGGCCAACCTTTCTCGCAATTTAACCCTATGTCACTCAAACTCGGGTGTGAGTGTTGGATAAAGTATGTGTCAGACACGGGTGTGATCAGATTTTCTAAGTTTTTTCCATGTCTTTGGAGGATCCTTGGAGGTCATATCCCCATATCCATGTTCCTTACACGAATAAATACACGCAATATGTTGATACTTGATTATACTCTATGTGGACCATAAACATAAACATGTATATATGTATATATATATATATGCATTTCTGTATGCATATTTGTTTTTGTACTTTGAAAGAAAACAACATACCTTGTGTATCCGGATACGCTCAATGGATTCTCTTAGTGAATCTTCCATCTGCCTAAGATGGTCTATGTTGTCAATTTTATCCGGATTACTCCAGTAGCTGAAATCATCGCATAATAAAAAAAGAATTACTCATATTACTCCATAAAGAAATCATGAACACAACCAAAATAAAGAGAGAGAATGCAGAACAATCAAAACAACATTAATGTCTATCATCCAAAGGTTAAGAGGTGAGCTATTAACAGAGTTTGAGTTATAGCAGAAACTTAAGCTGAAGGAGTTAAGCATCAGAGGCATTATCCCTTTTCATGCGGTTATGTTATGATACATAAGTTTTCAATGTAGGCTTTTAATTTTCTGGGTGATCTAGCATTAATCGACAAACCAATCACATTAATTATAATTTTTCTCATTGTAATATCCCTATGATAATATATAGCACCGTTAAACCTACGATCAAGTTCGTTACCACCCTTAAACCCACCATATCTTAATTTCAATTTAAGCAGCAAATGCTGAATCTTCCATAATGGCCTCAAAATACATCTTGTATTTTCTACTCTCGGGAAAACATTAACCTAGAATACCAAACTCAGGAAAAAAAGTATCTAATTAGGGTATAAAGATTAGTTTATAGGAAGTTCTAACAGACAAAGATTGCATGTCTTGCAGTAGATTAGAGATAAGAATATAATTTACTATTATATGATAAATGGCAAGCCTGCTTCTAGTTTCATGCAAACATTTTATAAGCAAGAACAAAAAGAAAAAGCAATACTTTAACAACCAAAAGCTCCAAAGGTGCACCTCAGTCTCTTATGTATTTCATTAAGCCGAGCTTGCAACATTGATACTTCATTAGTCATTTCCTGAAAATAGAAATGTCCGAGAAACATAACAAAAAGAACAACTAGAAAATTTGAGATCAAATGGGACATAGGTTGTAAGCAAACTTCATACCTCAACAGACTGGCTGCTGCAACAATTAATAAAGTAAAAACAGGGGGAAAAAGTGAGACATCAGAATCTTCTCAATCTCTTAAAGAGAAACGTATAAACTAGAAGAACGAAATAACAGTCACATACGTTGCACCTAGAAACTCTTGTATGTTTAAATCGTGGTCCAATTTCTTGAAGGTTTTCTTCAGTGCCTATATTCAAGATAACAAGACTGAAAATTAGAACAATAGAAGAGCAATAAGGCTTTACTATTCCCTTGAAGTAGAAAATATTGAAGAATGAGTTGTTAAGGAGTCTTACTTCAAGGCTCTCGAGCTTCCTGTTGTGGACCAACAAAAACCAGTTAGCTAAAATGTCATTCGAATACCACAAATTACTAAATGAGTCAAGATTCAGAGTGCACACCTTTTTGCCCTTTCTTGTGGTGTTAATTGTGCAAACTTCGCAAGAACCTCTTCGATAGAGCTGAAAAGAAAAAGGTAAACAAGCACCAAAAATGAACCCCATTGATTACCTTACCCAATTTTCTTCTACAAACTTAACTAAATGCATACATATATGATTTTTTAGACAATCATATACCTATGGTTATTTCAGAATTGCTTGTTTTGAGCTTGACACAGTGTTACTAGGAAAGCGAAGAACCACAGTAACATAGATTTTAATAACTAGAGGTATACTTTTAAATAATAAAAAAACAAAATACAGGAAAAATCCATAGATCAAAAAAGTGGCAGAAAGTTTGTATTATTAAAATCCTATTCAGCCATGCTTTCTCATTAATCCAACAAATCATCAAAATTGACTAAGAATAAGAGTGCTAGAAGGGAAACTTGCATTAGAATTTGTATCTTTATCTGCAGTTAATATAAAAAATACACAAATTATCACTGCATATATTCGACTTCTTACATTATTGGCATACATTGTATTGATATAAAATCGACTTTTCTATCAAAAGGTCGAATGTGGCTATCATTTGCAAACAAACAGGCTTTTAGATGTTTCAAAGAACCAAAGTAAGACAGAATTCACAAAAAAATAAAAGCATGGATCCATTGATCTCCAGTGAAACATAAACTTAAGCCCTCCAAGAAATTAAACGATGATTTCATCCTTCCAATACCTGCGCTCTCCATGGAACAATGTAGGCTTTCCGGTTGGAGAAAACATGAGAAGGATAATATGAATGTCACATAATATCGATAATTCCTTGGCTTTCTTCAAGATTCCAGTTCTTCGTTTCGAATATGTAACTTGTCTGTTGCTATAGCTCTCTAACTTTTTTATTTTTAGTTTAACCCTACCCATTCTGCAAATTCGCAAGAAAAATCACGTCATCTTCTTAAAACATATTTTCATTTTAAGCCAAAAAATTCCCCACATTTACTCACATTAATTAAGCGAAATAAAGCTGTGCAAGCGGAGCTCTCATCCCACGCACCAACATTAAGCAACCATGTGATCTTCAATAGAATTTCAAACGCAAATGCTCAAAATTGAAAATTAGAAGAAATTGAAAAAGAAATTGTTGACACCCTTCATCGAGTTCCCTTTCCCATTGAAACAGGGCATATCTTATCAAAGTTTTCAAGTTGAATATGATTAAAGTTTCCTCTTTGTCCCTAAAGAAAACCCAATTTACAGAAATGGAGTATACCCAGAAGAGAAAATCATTTAGGAATAAGAGAACAACAGTAGTTTTGATGAATTCATTGAGATTAAAAAAATCAATAAATCAAACAGTGGAGCTGAAAAAAATAAAAGAGAAAACAAAGAAGCAGAGCTTACGATTTAGAAAGGAGGAGGAGGAAGGGTCATGCTATGATTTCGGTGGATAAAGGCACACTGAAATTTCGTTTCTTCAGGAAGAAGAGGATAGCTTAGAGACGGTGGAGAGAGCCAGCCAAATGGACGGTGAGATGTTCCACTAAATGTCCCATGAAAATCTAAACCAGATGATTGCATAATTTGGGCCGGCTCAGTTTTCTTTAATTTAAGCCTTAATATGGTTTTGACTAAATTATACTTTAAATTTTGACTTCTAATGAATTTTTTTTTTAAAATAGATGTTTAATATTTTTTTAGTTACACTTTTAGGTATTAAACATATTTTTTTCATTAAGGTATCTAAACTTGACCTCAAATTAACTTTTAATGCCTAAAGAATTTTACATTAAAAATAGGTGATAATATTTTCAACGTTATATTTTTAGGTGTTTGAACCATAACGGCCGTTAATTTTGACCGTTATTTGACACATTTCATGCGTATAAAATTTTAAAAAAAATTAAAAGTTTAATATTATAATTAAAAAAACCCAAAATTCCACTGTCAATTGGTCAATGTTGGTTCGTAACCGTCACCGTTGATACTATCAGAATCGTCTCGCCGTTGCGATCAAAATCCAATCCCCCATCACCGTGAAACTGCATGGATCATCGTCAAAAGCGCTGTGAATGGTCCCAACATTGTTTTTCGATAATTTCGACAGCTACAGTTGATCATACATTCCACAACCACCACCATTGAGTTCCTCGTCATGCTCCAAAGAAAACCTAGCCGGTGGTGACCCTTCATCGTCGTCTGAGGTGGGGGATGGGAGCGAGAAGGACGACGTATGGGAGAGTTTAATTTTTTTTTAAAAAATATTTTTACTACTAAAAAATACAAATATAAATGTAAAAATGTATGCACCGAAAGCGTAACGAAAAAAATGTTAGGCAACTATTTTTTAAAAAATTCTTTAGGTACCAAAAGTCAATTTAAGATATAGTTTAGGCATATAAAAGTGTATCTTTTTAAATATTTTTTTTAAAATTTTATATACGTGACACGTGTCAGATACGACCAAATTTAACGGCCGTTATAGTCCAGTCACCTAAAAGTGTAACTTGGAATGTTAGACACATATTTTTAGCAAAAAATCTTTAGACGCCAAAAGTCAATTTGATATATAGTTTAGACACCTAAAAGTGTATTAAACTTTAATTTAATAAACGTTTAAAAGATAACAAATATTTTTATTCAAATTTATATATCTTTATAATAAATATTTAAAATTATTAAATTATAAAAAAAAATTTAATAACGTGGAGTGAATGCTCTCAACCATTTGATAATGAATGCTCAATCACCCTAATGCAACAGCTAATGCTTGAACATGTGACCTCTTGAAACAATAACGATTCCTTTACCCACTGAGGTAAGTTGGTTCGTGCATGTTTATAAAATTTTTAAACATAAACAACATACGTATATCATATAAAACCAGTTACATGAAACTAATTTTTTTAGAAAAAAACAATTATCTCTCTAAGTACTAAGATTGTTCAATAAATTAAAAAGGCTTAATACAATTTTTAGTGCTTAAACTATACCTCAAAAAATAATTTGGTGCTTAAAGAATTTTTTGCTAACAATAGATGGCTAATATTTTCTCCTTTACACTTTTAGTTGCCTACAGTTTTTTCTGTTATACTTTTAGGTACATAACGTTATATTATTTATTTATTTTTTTGAATTGAAAAGAAGCAGATTACATTAAGCTCTCAGGTATGGCGGACCATGTAAGTCGCGAATCAGTTGAGCTCTGAGAAAATATGGAGGAATTGCATGTAAGACGGTACCACCGGCAGGTGAGTATACAACTTTTATGGGTGTGTCCGCAGCTAGGTTGCTTCACGGGGGATCCATTGGAGTTGTGTTTCCCATTGTCTTTGCTGGAAAAGAACAATCATATGGACCAAGGGTTGGACATTAGACACATTAGCATCAGCCTGCTCAATAATCTTAATAGCTTCGAGATTGTCGGACTAAATGATAAACTTGTTGTAGTGGTGATTCCAGGCGAGATTTAAACGAGCTACAATACCCCAAAGCTCTGATTGAAGCGGCGTACAGTGGCCAGTGAATTGAGTGTAGCCTAGGATCCATCCTCTATTGTTGGCGCGAAACACCCCAGCAGCAATATTATCTCCTGTGACTTTAGATATTGCCCTATCACAATTTACACAAATCAAACTTGTGGGTTTTCCCATTGAATGAGTTGGGGTAAAGCATGGGTTTGTAGTAGATTCGGTGTAAAAGTTGCTGTGAAATTGTAACACCCCAACCCGTATCTGGCCCGAATACGTGTCCGAGATGTCACTTTGACTTTTTGGAATAATATTCTTGTAAGATAGCAAAACATTTGAACTTATAATAAGAAAATACAATAAAATATTATTAAATTATTATAAGTTCAAATGTTTTGCTATCTTACAAGAATATTGTTCCAAAAAGTCAATGTGACATCTCGGACTCGTATTCGGGTCGGATACGGGTTGGGGTGTTATATTTAATGGTATCAATACAAAGTGAAATTTTTTCTGATCTGATAGTGTAAGGAGTGTTCTGTCTTGCTAATAGAATTAAAATGTTATATTATATTAGATGTATGATCATAAGAGTTTCCAAAGTGAAGCACAAGCCAATAGACTGAAGGTAATAGCAATTCACCTGCCCTGGCCAGGCAGGGAGAAGAGCGAACACCTCAGGGAGTGCCTGTATAAGATTAAAGTATATTTTCATGATGCTGAATGATATTCTAATATGTTTCAATTTTATGCTTCTTTAATTCATAGAATGAATGTATCGAAATAGTTAAAAGAGTTAAAAGCACCCGAGTTCAAGGGTGAATTTGAGGAAGGTCCTATTGTTATAGACCTTTGGTTAAATGATATGAAGATAATGTTAAAATGTTTTCATTTCTCCAAAGTGGAGAAGATTAAATTGAGTAGTTTCATTATCAAGTGGGTAAACTAGAGCATGATGGACAAATGTCACCATAAGAATGTTAAAAGATAAAGTGATGTGGTTATCGTTTGTAAAAAAGTTCAAGAATAAGTACATAGATGACCAGTTTATAAGACAAATGAAGCTAGAATATACGAGCTTGAAGCAATGGAATTACACGTGCATGTGTATGAGTATAAGTTTAATAAGTTAAGCAGCTTTATTGCTGAGTTGATTCTGATTAATAAGGATAAGAAGGATACATGTGATTGGTTGCTTAGGGCTTGCGCCTTAAATTAAAAGAGTGTTACTGGCTTTGAATTTGTTTTTATTTCAAAAAATGGTTAATCGCGTTAAAGATCTAGAGAGAACTCAGAATGAAAGGATTGGAAAAAAATCTCAGATGATTAAGAAAATTTGTGCTTCATAAAGTTAAGCACCATCAAAGAAAGGTAGAGATTATGGTTTTTCAACTTTAAACCAGATATGAATCAGTTATATACTACGCCAGAGAATCAAATCAGATGAGAGTCAAACAGACTCAAGCAGTAGAGTTTGATATTGGAAGATTAAACAAGGAGTTAATTGATAATAAGTCAGGGTTAAAGGTAAACTTTGTGAATTGGGTTAAAAGCTCTATTAGAAGTTATGAAAATTGAAGTAGGAAAAGTATTTTAAAGGGATGAGATGAATATTGAGATCTGGTAATTGTTGAAACAAGTGGAGAAAACACAAGTATAAGAATGATAAAGAATAAGGTTCTGTGCAAGTAAAGTTGACTATCAAAGTCATAAAAATGTGATAAGGAGTGACAATTAAGGATAAATATAAGTGATAGGAAAAGAGTATGTGAACATGAATTAAAAGATATGATCTATGTATAAGGAGATTTTGATTTTGAAGAAATAATGGAATAAAGAAATGAAAGGATGAAGTATAAAGGATCAGATGTGATCAAGGTTATATGGAAGTCTGGATGATAAGTTTGATATAGAAATACAAAAAGTGTGCAAGGTGATGTGAAAAGATTGTTTGATTCCGTAAAGTATGTGTTTAATCACAATTAAAGAAGATTTAAGGTTGTGTTCTTGGTTAAAGGATGATGAAATAAGAGTTTGGGTTATTGTTATAAGGTAATTAGAGATTAATGAAGAAATAGATGGATTTATGATATGGAGTGATGAGATGGATGTTACTGTCTACGTGATGAGTGACATTATATGGATTTTAGAAAGGTTAAAGAAAAATGCAGAATTGAAGAAAAAAAGAGACAGAAATGGTTGAGGTTACCGGTTACTTTTTATATGATAAATGACAATAAATGAATAAATAAGGGAAAAAGTTAGTTGAAGAACTTAAGGAAGGAAAGATTAAATAAAGAAAACAACATGAGAACATTAGAAAATATGTTCTTATCAATGTGTGAAATGCAAATTTGAGGGCGAATTTTTCTTAAAAGGAGGGGAGATTTGTAAAATCCTCAATACCGGGTTAGTGACTAAATTGTAAAATTTCAGAATTTGGTGATTAAAGTGGAAAAGTTGAATAGTTCAATGACTTATTTAAAAATAATATTTGAAGGGTTATTGGTAATTATTGAAAGAGTCAAAGGGCAAATAGGTCATTGAACAAGTAAAATAATTAAATAATAATTTATGGGTATTATAATACCCATGTGATGCATGTTTGAAGAGATAAGTTTCCAGACTTATCTTCTTCATCTTATTCTCTTCTCCAAAGTGAGGCTCCAAGGCAAAGGTGAGTTTCTTTGTCAGTTAATTTTTTGTTGATTTTATGGTTGGGTTTTGATCATTAGATGATAACTAAGCTTAAGGAAAGCTTAAGTTGTCTTAAAATCAAAAGATGAAGAAGTTATGAAAGATTAAAGAAAATGAGTTTTTAAGTGAATTCTTGGAAAATAGTTGATAAGTTGAATTTGAAACTAAATTTGACTTGTCATCAACTTAATTAAGAGATATGAAGTGATATAATTGGATTTAGAGTATTTTGAAAATTTGGTATGATTATTGATTTCCATATGAACGATGAAATTTTGAGATTAAAGATGAGATAAATGGATATAAATGAGTTTAAGCATGTGTATGTGAATTAAGGATATGAAAGGGGTTAAAATATGTCACAATTAAATTAGAAGAAAGTAATTTACGTGC